TACGTAACAGTTCAATTTGGAAGAATACAGTAGTAAATAGCCTCACATTTCTACAGTTAAGATGCGCTTGAATTCATTTTGGTCAAGGTCTGCTTTTGTTCTGAATAGTTGCTACAAACTGAAAAACAACAACAACTCTATTTTCATTTTCCTGAATTGCCTCAGTTCTTATGGCCTCTTCTCTGCGTTGTCTTGGATGGTCCAGACAGCGCGGGCTCAGGGACTCAGCCAGTCGCCATGGCAACTGCCAGGCAGCCCAGCTTGGAGGTGGTCAGAAAGGTGTGGAAGGCAGGCAGCGGCCCGGGGGGCTCCGAGACGCTTTCCCCGCCCGGCGTCCCACCGTGGACGCAAGAGACACCCTGACGCGCCGCTGCGCAGAACCACGTCCAGCCCCTGACTGCGTTTCCTTTACTTGTTCTGTTTGTTGGGGGGAGGGGGGAGGGGGGAGAGAGGTGGGTCTCTCTCATTTATATTTAAGAGACGTAAAAAAAAAAATTTCTTACTGGAGGAAGGCAGCGCGAGGGCACCGTGGCCCCTCACCTTCTCCACTCGGCCTCGCCCCTCCCTTCTCCCCGCTGGGCTTACCTGCGCAGGCTCCTTGCTGGGGGATGATGGGAAACCCCGCCGGGGGATGATGGGAAACCGCCCCTGGGGGATGATGGGAAACCCCTCCCGGGGGGATGGTGGGAAGGGCCAACTGGTGGATTATGGGAAGTGCCTCCTTGGCAAGGTTAAGAGGTAGGAGAGGAATTCCTCTTTTTTCCAGGGAAGAAACCCCGTCCTAGTGATGGCCTCACCTTTTTGCCTCTCACTTACCCCAATAAAATAAGAGGATGAGCTATGCGAACATTTTGCAGGCCTTCGGAGCTTGAAAGCCCTGCCTCTGTGGGCACCAAGCACTTCCGGGTCACCTGAGGGTTAGGGGTCACGGGGTCTGGGGATGACAGCTGTCAGACTGGCCTAATGAAGTCTTTCTGGGACTACCCAGGTCTCTCACGAGAGTGAGTGAGGCTCTCTGCCCAACCTGAGCCCGGGAGCAGCCTCCTTCTGGAAGGAGGAGTTTGGAATCTGGGCTAGTTGCTGCTGTGGGAGCTGGGAGGCCAGTCCTGCTGTTCTGGACGCCTGGTCTGGTCTTGTCTGGACAATTGCTAAACCTGCAGTGTAGTGAAATTACTATAGATTGACTGACAGAGTTTTGTGGGGAACTCTGACTAATTTGCATAAGACGTAAATCAAATTGTAAATTTTAGGATTCAGTAGCTCAGTGGGTAGGCATCCAGCTGCTTATGACGTGATCCAGAACACAGTACGCTTAAATCACTTTCTGGTTTTTTCAGTCGAAGCCTCTTTGAGCCAGTGGTTCTCTGTTTAGTAGATGGTTAAGATCACTCCCAGAAAACCATACTTATTCATTTAAATTGGCGGTCTGGGAGGCAGTAGGGTGGAGTGATTAACAGCAATAGCTCTTGAGTCGGGTGGCATAGTTTGAATCTCTGGTTGTATGATTCTGAGCAATGTCTTTACCTCTCTGTGGTTCCTGTTCCTTAGCTGTACAATGGAGAAATGACAGTGAGGACTTAAGATAATTCATATAAAATTCTACAAACACTGCAGAGAGTCAGGACTTAACAGACATTAGTTACTGTCATTGTGAACATTTGAAAGTTGAACTTATGACGTTTACTTTTATGTGCAAAAAGATGGTATTTATTTGTGTATTCTTGATTATATTCCAGATTTCTAATATTTAAAAATATTTTGAGATTTTATTATAAAAAAAAACATGCTCAATTGTAGTGGATGTGGCAACTGTCAAGTATAAAGAAGAAAATAACCATCATCTATTCTAAAGTCCCAACTTTTTCCCCATAAGAAAAACTTAATTGTGGGGGGTGTTTATGACCTTCTTATCTTTGCAACTAACTAACAATATGATTGTCGGGTCTTGTGTATTGATTCACTCGTACATTGTTTCTTTGTTCAGAGAGTGATGGGTTAATGGGTTTGGGCCTGAGATTCGGTTAAGATTGCAACCTTCTGTTATGTTATTGGTTCTGAGGGAAAGGTACACAGGGTGTATGTGTTCTGGAAGACCTGTGGGTTATTCACCTCTTCACCTCATGGATTTGGTCTCCATATGCTACCAGCAAGATGAAACTCTTGTGTTTACTCAGTCCCTGCTACCCTCCTCCAGCCCCTCCCCCACCTCAACATCACACAATACACCTTGAGGTCAGTGTGAGGAGAACTTTCTATTAATAATATGTAACTTCTTTGTGATATCTTTGTTGTTAGCATTATGTAGCTATCACAAAGAAATAACAGTACATTAATAAAATATCATCTTTGATCCCAAGGGCAGCTCTTTGAGATTGTAAGGGTTTATTCCTCTCAGTTTACAGAATAGGAACCTGAGGCTCAGAGGGCAGGTGAGTTGCCTGAGGTCACCAAAGCTAGTAGACCATGGGAATTTGAACTTAGGGATTCTGGCTCTAAATGAGTAATATTTCCAGCAAACAATGATGACTTTAAGAACTATTTTCCCTCCATTTAGATCAATTTTTAAAAATACTTCAATATTGGGTTTAAATAAATAAAATGATCAGGTTATTACTGTTGAGGGTATTAAATCTCAAAAGCAACTAAGGGCACCATGCAATATTCAGATTTAAAATGAAACACACTTATTTGTATGTTGGGAATTGAATATACAAGTGTATAATGGTCAAACCATCTATAAAAATAGAACTCGGATCCACAACTTACAGCCACAAGCGCAGGAAACCAGCTCATTATCTACAACAACCATCCCAGGAAGCCAGACTCCTGCAGGTCAAACTTGTAGAAAGTCAGGTTGCTGTCCCTAGTAGCTGATCCAGGAACAAACAACAACCCCTATAACAACTGGCTTCAAATGGCCAGGACTTAATTAATAACAGAGTTTCCTTAACTTTTGTCCCCACTTCCAACTTAGGACCCAGTCAGAGAAAGCTGAATTTTCATCCTAACCAATCACATAAGATGCCTGCTTCCAGTGAGCCCTCCTGCAGCCTCCTTACGCCCGCAGCCTCCAGTCAGGGCCCACATGAACCCTTTCCTTTTGTCTATTGTAAAGCTTCCCCACTCTTCTGCCTGCCTTTGAGTCTCTGCCAAAATGCAAGTGATGGTGGCTGACTCCTACGCTGTAGCAAGCCCTGAATAAGTAGTCTTTGCTTGTTCTATTGGGTGTTCTTTGTTTATTTCTGCATATAAAATAGAGAATCTTTTAAGTAAAAATGATAAAGGAAGAACGTTTTTACATCTCATCAGGGATCTAAAGGCCTGTATAGACTGGATTTCAGTGGCTTGGTTGAGCATCCACTGGGTGCAAAACACTTTTCTAGGTGCTGTGGGGGAGACAAAGATGAGGGTGGCATGGCTCCTGAGTATCCGGAAATCAGACAGCCACCCAGGTGATGATTACAGGAGACAGAACTTGGCTCAAGGTATATGGGAATTAAGGGATAGACAGTGAGTGCAGCTGACTTGAAGGATCACTAGAAGCTGCAGGAAGGAGGTGTCCGATATTTAGAGTGAAAAAAAAACTGCACAGAAATATGGTTAATGTATACTAATAAAACAAAAACCAGTTAAAATTAAATTTAACATTTTGCCACTCACCTTTAAAATAGATAGATGGATGGATGGCAGACAAAATAGATGATACACAGAGCTGAGTCCTTTTCTCTTTCTTCCAGCCCATTCCCCTCTCCCTCCCCGAGGGTGTCCCTATCCTGAATTTGAAGCTTTTTCTGGGAGTGGTCCCTTGGCCAGTCTTTGAAAAATGGCTGTGCTTTCTGATAGGCAGGGATGGGGGAAGGAAAACATTCCAGGAAGAGAGTATGGCACAGGCAAAAGCATAGAAGTAGGGAAGTGAGGGATGTATCTAGGGGAAGTACCTGGGGTCTATTTTGTCTGAAGCACGTGACAAGTAGAGGTTGGGGATGGTGGGCCATGCCGCTGAGAAGAGGACTTGGGCTGTGAACATGGAGAGACTGAATGCCGGTGAGCAAGTCTGGGCTGCATTTGGGTTTCTGAGTAGAGGGAGTGTGAGGTGCTGAGTGCCAAAGGCTGGAGACGAGAGGTTGAATTAGAGGCTATGGCCAGAGTTTACAGGGGTAGTAAGAAGGCCAAGGTCGGTGGTGGTGACAGAGGAATTGGGAAGGAGATCATGAGGGGCCCTGGGCAGGCAGAGTATCAGATGACTAGAGGGAAGCCAGGAGGAGGGACCCATTAACGACAGCGAGTGAGTGTGAATGCGCAGGTTAAGTGTGCGCGCGCCTCTGACTCTATTGGAGTGCGTGAGGGAGTGAAGCTCCATATGGGACCCGAAGGGGCTAGACTCACATCCAGGGTAGAGGAGGGATGTCAAACCCTGAAGGGCATCAGGGTAGACCCGCATCTGCTAAGTGGTCAGAGCTGACTCCTTGAGTCAGGAGATGCTTATAAACACGACAGAAGATCTCGAAGAGCACATCTCTGTGGACTGCCAACACCAAAGGATCAGAAGGGCCAAGAAAGTGAGGAGAAGCAGGCAGGTCCCGAGGGACACGAGAAGCAGAGGGCTGGGGCTGGAAAGGGATGGTGCCCAGCTCCGGGCAGCGGTGAAACCCTTATGAGAGCTAGCCCAACGCGCTTCCTGCACCCTTCCTCTTTAGGCCTCTGAGCCGAAGGTGGCGTCTAGTTGTAGGATCACCCAGCAGCCGGTTAAAAGGGCCAGCCATGTGGCGTCCAGCTTAGAGAGCAGGTGAGTTCTCGGTGCTCCTCAGGCCCCCCCCTCCCTCCTCCTGGGTGACGATTGGCCAAGGCGCCCCTTACCGTTGCTATGACAGCAGCGAAGGGAGCCCGTGGCTCCTCCCCATCCCCTCCCGCCCCGGGTCCCACCCCTCTCTTCCCAGGCGGCGATTGGCGGATGCGTCCCGTTGCTATGATAGTGTCCGAAGGTTAACAGCGGCTCCTTCCTGCTCCTTTCCTCTCCTCCCTCCACACCAGGAGAGGGGCGGGGCTGGCCGCGTGTCCATGGCGACGGCGGACGCGGCGGTGCAGGCTGCTGGTACCTACCTGCTAGAGAGGCGCAGGCAGCGGCGGAGATCCCGATTGGGGCGGGGCCATGTCGGACCTGGGCTCGGAGGAGTTGGAGGAGGAGGGCGAGAATGATCTTGGGGTGAGAGCTCCGGGTAAGGGAGGGGCACCCTGGGGTGCGCGGTGTCGGGCTGACTCTTGGAAGCTGGATTCAGAGAGCGGGGTGGCCTGGAGGCCAGCCGCAGTCCCCCGGGAGTCCCAGCCAGGGAGCAGGACCACGTAGGCCACAGCGGGCGCTGCGTCCTGGAAGCCGGCTGTGAAAGGTGAAACGTCATGACGTCTGCTTGCCACATGCCTCCTCGCTCCCCCCACTCCCAACCCGCCTCCCATTAAAGGCAAAGATTTCCAAATCGAAGGCGTTGGAAACGTCCTCCTTCTTACGGTTACCCTCCATCGAGGCAGCTTCCTTGATTGGCTGGGTCATCCCAAGCTGCCTGCTACTTTTGAATGTACTTTTGTATTATTCTGAAACCACTTCAGTAATGGGGCTTGGCTCCTCAGGATTAAGGCAGATGAAGGAAAGCGGCTTTCTGGCAGCCTTCAAGAAAGGCTAAGAAGGTTTCAGGCTCAGCGAAGGCTTCCTGGAGCTATTACCGTCGAGGCCTGTAATCCCGTATGCTTTCTTTACTCTCGTCAGACCCGACGCAGGTTGCTGGGATTGCTTCCTGGTTTGGACAGCGGAGAGAGGGTGAGGGGTGCACACCCAGTGACCGTGCTGGGCCCCGTGGGAGCATATTTGTACCGCCCAGAGATTAACCAAGCCAGAGGGTGACCCTTTCCTGGCTGACAGTTTGGACACCTCAGCCACTGTGTGTGTGCAGGGTGCAGAGGCGAGACAGTTTCAGGATTATCTGAAAAACCTAGCCCCTCTGCTGTGAAGCGTGCCTGCTCAGGCCTGCTTACAGCTCCGCACACCCATCTCCCAGCCTCCGCCTGGTTTGCTGCTGGAGACTAGCACCTCTCTGCCCTGGAGCCACCTGGCCAGTAGGGAGATCCAGAAGTGTCCCAGGACGGAGGCAGCGAGTGCTAAAAGGCGCAGCAAACTGCAGTGATGGGTACTCCAGAGCCCTCCGTGTGATGAGGCTGAGTCTGGGACGTCACCCGACATTGCCATACTTGGTGGCCTCCTCTTTCACATCTGTTTCCTTGTCCCCTTTACTGGTGTCTCTTGAAAAAAAAATCACTTGCTCAAGGTCTGCTTCCGGGGACCCCAAACTACATCACCTGCCGAGTATGCTTTTTAGTCTGTCCCCTCAGCTGGCCCTACTGATTTGTAACTTTTTAATGCCTGTGATTTTTAGGTTCGAATCACAGTGGGGTTATTTTCAAGGCTCCCCCCTTATTTAGCCATCCCAGCGGCTCAGTATTGGTGCATTGGGTGGTCTTTGGGGCAGGAGGAGGAGTCTTTTGTGCATTTTGATTTAGACTAACCCTAAAACAAATTTGTAAGTTCACAGATTTTTACCTTATATTCTTCTGACCATGAATTTTTGAGCCAAATAGTGCTAGAAAAGCACATGAACTGCCAGAATGTTTGTTTCTGAGCCTTCGATTTAGTGTGTCTGAGCTTGTGTGTAATTCAGATTCAACGCCGTGTCAAACCGTTGCTCTGTGCCCTGGCCATTTCATTATTTGTTATTTGCACTCTACACTTGTGGATTAGGTGCTGGAGGAACATTTATTTTATGAAGAATAGGGAAAATAGGGAAATAGCAAGCTTGTATTATGTTTTTTATTGATTTACTTTTAAGATAGATATGTAATTATTTCTGTATTAGGCGAGGAGTGTTTGAACCTTAAGTCTCTTGATGAAGAGTTTATTAAAATAAGATAAACTAAATTGAGTTAGGATATTCTGGGACAATTGAGCCCCGGTCTCCACTCCTCTCCCACCATCAGCTTCCTTGAAGGTCAAAGCTGCCTTCGGGTCACAGACACCCCAGGGATCATTTGCATTTTAAGTTATGGATTATCGGAGGAAGGTGGGTCCAGGACCTGTTCCACCTGCATCTGCTGCTTCAAACATGTTCCTATAAAGAACTTGGAGTACCTCCCATTTCCCCCCAGATGGTTGGTTTTGTTTATAGTGCAAAGGATTATCATGATAAATTGGAAGGAGAGTGTGAAGCTCCCACCACGGACAGGTATCAGCTATGTGACCTTGAACCAATGCTCCTGTCACCCAGGCCTGGTACCTACCTCACCTGTGAGACAAAGTCAAGGGTAGAGAGGATTCAATGGAATACTCTTTTTTCTTTTTAATTGAAGTATAGTCAGTTTACAATTGTGTAAAATTTGTGTCCATTTCTGGTGTACAGCATCATGTTTCAGCCATACATACACATACATATATTCCTTTTCATGTTCTTTTTCATTATAGGTTACAAAGTATTGAATATAGTTCTCTGTGCTATACAGTAGAAACTTGTTGTTTATCTGTTTTATGTATAGTAATTAGTATCTACAACTCTTGAACTCCAATGTATCCCTTCCCAACCCCTTTCCCCCTCTGGTAACTGTAAGTTTGTTTCTATGTCTGCGAGTCTGTTTTGTAAAATGCTTAGCACATGGTTAATGCTTAACAAATGGTAGCCATGATCATCTTGGTCTCCTTTGCCCAGGAATATGAAGGGGATCGAAATGAGATGGGTGAACGGCACGGACATGGGAAAGCGAGACTGCCCAATGGGGATGTATATGAAGGGAACTATGAACACGGTAAAAGACATGGCCAGGTCAGCATCGATGACTTAAGTGGGTGGTTTTCTCTGTTTAATACTTTGTTAGCAATTATTATGTTCAGGAGTGACATGAACTATACACTCCTTGTGTTTCAGGGGACCTACAAATTTAAAAGTGGTGCTCGATATGTCGGAGAATATGTTAAAAATAAAAAGCATGGTCAAGGCACTTTTATATATCCCGATGGATCAAAATATGAAGGTAAAATATTATCACAAAGCAGACTTCTGTGTTGTGGAGGTCTTTAGGGATTGAACTTGTCTGTGGATGCTGAGAGGTACAAGAAAGCTTAAAGTTCTCTGGATCAGTTAGTCATTCAACAAACACTGTATGCTCTTCTCCTCAGAACTGTTTTTGCTGTTTTCCCTTTATGACCAGCCCCTCTTCTGATGAACATATTTGTTTAGATGGTGGTTCTTTCATGAGGGCTTCTGGTCTGGGAGGTGCTCTGCCTTGTTAAACTGGCGTTCTTATCCCTGCCACAGTGCATTCCATGCCTTTTCTCTGAGCTGTAATCCGTGTTCTGCAAGCACTCAGTGCAGCTCTTTCTGTTGTCTGCTGATCCTGGTGCCAGCCTGACCCCACCCCCTGATAAGCCGAGAGTGAGCTCCTCAGGACGGCAGGTCCTTGTACAGCGCTGTCAGCCTCGCAGGTGCTCAGGACCTCGGGGGCTGATGGAAGAAATATGCAGGAGTCCCCTTTGTGGATGAACTTTGGGGTTTATTCATGTAAACGCGCTTCTTGGGTAATTAACATCCTCTTAGCCTGCCCTCCCTTCTTTGTCCTCACACGGAAGGGGATCCAGGCTTTGCAGATGCTAGAAGCTTATGTAAGTTTAGGCGTCCCCTTTAAGAAAAAGAATATGAAGTTGGTCTAAAATAAATTTTTACTTGTAATGAGACATCAAAGTAAACAAAGAGGTAAAACTATCACAAACATCACAAAAACTGAGGAAGTTAAATGAATTTTTTCTGTTATTTTTTATTATTTATTTATTTTTAAATTGGCATAAAGTCAGTTTACAATGTTGCGTCCATTTCTGGTGTACAGCATCATGTTTCAGTCATATGTATGCAGACACATATTCCTTTTCATATTCTTTTTCATTATAAATTATTGCAAGATATTGAATATAGTTGCTTGTGCTGCACAGTAGAAACTTGTTGTTTATCTATTTTATAGACAGTGGTTAGTATCTGCAAATCTCGAACTCTCACTTTATCCCTTCCCACCCCCTTCCCTGCCACCCTGGTAACCATGAGTTTGTATTCTAGTGACACGAATTTCTATAAGCTAACGTCCTGACACGCCTCTAGCATGCTGCTTTTCCTCCTTTGTTAGCTAATAAGGGAACACCTCTCTATATGACAGCAATTTTTAATATTTTCTGTAAAGAAAATAGAAGGAAAATTCTATCTTTTTTCTTCGATCTGCACATTGATCAAAATTCATCTTTTTATTATCCATAGTCTAGAAAAGTGTCATTCAGCCTAGTGACTTGTTACTGGCAATGCCATCTTCATCTTCAGGATAGCTGCTGATGTTGGGAGCTGACGTTCTGTCGAGCTCCTTTCGTGTGCGAGGCGTAAGCCTTGAGGACATCTTGAGTTTTCCAGGGCAGGGACTCATCTTCAATACCTTTCAGTTTACGATGTTCACTGAGTGGTATGCTGTTGCCCTCACTGTAGAGAGTGTGCTATGGATTTCATGGTGTCTTTGCCATTTCCAGTATTTCCTATCAAGTCAGCCCATAATTAGCAGGAACTTGCGTGGGGGTGAACGGCAGGGACTCGGGTGAGGGGGCGTCCAAGCAGAGGCTGGGTCGGCTGAGGCACAGCATCCCTCCGCGTGGCGCAGGTGGGGCAGCCGCAGGCACTGGAGCAGGTGCGAGGTGCGAAAGGGAGTCAAGCACTGGCAAGTGGCTGAGGGTGGACCGCTGAGGCTCCAGGTTGTTGCTGGATCGCTGAGCACATGCGAGACAGTAGGAGTGGGGTGGGGGCCACTGGCCACAGGGCAGCAGATCCTGACTTGAAGCCTCGGTGTGCTGCCGGCCAACTGGGAAAGCTGCTGTCAGCACAGATGGATGACAGTGGCCCACGAGTATACACCTGCCCAGGTCATTCCCCTGGGAGCCCTGGCTCAGTCCCCCGCCCCAGCCAGCTCCCCGCTCCGTGCCATCCATCGGCCTGGGGGTGGGCAGAGTGGGACGGGCAGTGGCGCAGGGCAGCGCCCCCCACCCCCGACCTGCTGCTCTTGTGCGGCCCCTGCAGGGGAGTGGGCGAACGACCTGCGGCATGGCCACGGCGTGTACTACTACGTCAACAACGACACCTACACCGGGGAGTGGTTTGCTCACCAAAGGTTCGTTCTCTCCCCGGCCCCAGGCTGACTCACGGGATGAGCCCGAGACGGTGTCTGACTTAGAGACGGCGTCACACCCAGAGCCCGTTGTCCAGCTCTGCCCCGCAGTTCATGGCTTTAGGGCTGGTGTGGGGCCAGTGCAGTGCTGGGTGGATGCAGACTCCTGGGAACACACCCAAGAGCCCCAGGCCGAGGGATGCACAGGAGAACTTCTGGGAGCTGAGCTGTGGCTCCCAGGGACACAGCCTCTTCCCCAAGCCCGCCAGCCACCCCGTGGGAGGGCCGGCGCTGACCTGCAGTGACACCCAGGCCTGCCTGGGCACATGAGCAAGTGGCAGGCTGTGATCGGTCCAGGTACAGAAGCCCTGTCGCTTGGAGCCCAGGCAGCCTGGGACCCCCCTCGACTTTCACATCTGTCTTAGAAACCTGGAAGGGTTGTCACTGCAGCGGAACATGGTGCACGGTGCTCCTTATCTTAACCAGGCACGGCCAAGGCACCTACTTCTATGCGGAGACTGGCAGCAAGTACGTGGGCACCTGGGTGAACGGACAGCAGGATGGTGCAGCCGAGCTGGTTCACCTGAACCACAGGTACCAGGGCAAGTTCTTGAACAAAAATGTAAGTCAATGGGCAGCGACATTTGTCAATGAAATTAGCAAACCCTCCTCCCCCATCCAGGAAAATGTGTGAGCAGAAAGTATGACAGAGCCAGGCAGACCTCCCCTGGGGGGCGGTGCGTGCCCTCTCGCTGAGTGACAGTAAAGCGTGAGTCAGTGTGTGTAATTACGATGGGATTTTTATTTTTAAAATCTCTTTTAAGAACAAGGTTACAGAGACTACATCAAAGTATTATGGGTAGTTTTATTTCTGGCTAATTTGACTGTGGGTGTTGACTAAATCAAATTTTTGTCATAAATACATTACTTTTATAAAGAGAAAAAAAATTTTTAAGCAAACCAAAGAGGACCTATACTTTGCAATTCTGTTAACCATCAGTTCAAAAAAGCATCTTTAATCCATGTTGGATTTCCCTCAATTCCACGCCTTTGGGTAGGTTTTATGAAGGTAACATTTATAAAGCACTTTGTACTTTCTACTGGGTGTCGCCACTCACGGGTGAAGCACCTCTTGGTTTCTCTTTGCTCGCAGCCTGTTGGCCCTGGAAAGTATGTATTTGACATTGGATGCGAACAGCACGGGGAATATCACTTAACAGGTGTGGTAAGTTGCAGAGTGCATCTCGTTTCCCGCGTTCACAGGTGGCAGAGCTGCTCGGTGACACTGATCCTGGAGATGTGTGTCGGGGTTGGTTGCGGTGAGGGGGTGTAGGAAACAGGATGGGCAGAAGGGGAAGCTGAGTTGTGTCCAGACCCCAAGGGAGCCTTGAAACTGGACGACCCTTCAGAGTGTCCTCAATGGAGGCAAGGACCTTTGACCGCCCTGTAGACCAGTCATGGGGTATAGGCTGCCCATGGACAGAGGCATGAAACCTGGTCTGTGTGGTTTCTTTGGGGAAGGGCAGTTCCTGGGAGGGACCCCATTGTAAGCAGTCAGCTGCCAACCCTCCCAGCAGCTGGAGGAATGAGCCCCTGATCCTGAGGGAGAAGTGGTGGGCACGTGAGTACCCAGGAGACAGGAGACAGCAGATACCCTGAGGGAACGATTCTCAAAGTGTAGTCCCTGGGCCACCCAGGAATCTCTTAGAAATGGAGAGTATTGGGCCCCCCAGACTTACTGAATCAGAAACTCCAGGGGTAGGGCCAGCGATCTGTGCTTTAACAACCCATCCAGGGGATTCTGGTGTGATCCAAGTTTGAGCATCACTCTCCTGGGCATTGATGCCGCCCTTCATGGGGGAAGAAACTCAGAATTTTAAAACCAAGTAGAGTAATTTATTTCTGAGTGACTCAATGAAAGTAATGGGCAGGGATCTGCCACTCTCTGTCACCGGTGTTATCACCTATGGGATAGTGACATTTTCCACATTCATAGGATTGACGTTCAGATCTTGGGACTTCTGTGATAGTTACAGAATCGAGAAGTGGACCAATGCGCTTGGCACGACTGACGTGTGCTGGCTGTTAACCGTCGTCGGACTTACATTACCGTGAAACATTCCACGCTTAGAAATGATGAGCTTTGTCTGCTTTCACTGAATTTTATTTTCCTCTCCGTAACCCTGGAGGCTGGAGCTTATGCCCCCTCCACATCATGGCCAAATGTCTTTGGGTGTTTTTAGGCCTTTTCTTACAGTGATGTTAGTTTTATTATGTGTAAAGAATCTGAGAGCTGGGAGATGTGGGACACGGGGCTGCGAGATGGCAGAGGGCATCGAGCCCCAGTTGTTTCTTACCTGGGATGTGTCGTGTCTGAAAGCCTCTCGTGCCATCCGTGGAAAGAGCGCAGGTGCCGTGTGGCCCTGACCTTCATTCCTTGTCCACGTTCTTTCAAGATGTTTTCAGCCCTTACATGATACTCTGGGTAGTAGGCAATCACTCTGGTCACTGAATCGTGTTCTAAAAATGCTCAAATGCAATTCCAAGTCTGTCCCTTCTCCCCTCACTTTAAATATCGCACAGTGTAGGTCAATTTACATTTTTAAACTGAAAATAGGAAAGAGAAGAGGAAGAAGAGGGGGAGACATTAGTGACCGTCATCCCCAAATGGAAGGCCACCAGAATCACAGAATTGGCCTTGTGGACCCCCACCCTCCCTGAGAAGGAGCGCCTGGCAGACGGAGCTGGCCAGGAGGAGGCCCCAGGAGCCGAGGGTATGGACGCCCTGGGGCCGGGGGAGCGGGGCTCTCAGGGAAGCGGGCTCTGTGTCACAGGTGATGCTGGGTGGCAAGTGATTGAAGACCACCTCCAACTGGCCTCTGTGAACTAACGCTAACAGTAATTCATTGGGTCATACAACTGGTGTGGTTGGGGTGAGACAGCCTCAGGCATGGCTGGATCAGGCCTCCGCTCTCTGGTCTCGGCTTTCCTGCGCTCTGGCTCTGCTTGCCAGCATCCCCTTCCTTGGGAGACCAAAGCTTATTGACTTTATCAGATTGTCACCCAATCAGATCAGGAACCCTGGGGAGCAGAGCGCTTCTCTTCCTCAATATGGTCATTAAACCCTTGGGGTATATGTACACTTAACATAAAACAAAAGCGAGAAGCCCTTGGGAGTTAGAGTTGTCAGACCAACGATGCCCACCTCTGAACCCATCACTGGGATGGGGATGGGGGCTGAGATGCCAGTCTGTGTGGAGCTGCAACTCCAAGTGGGGAGGGTGGTTTCCTGGGGGAGAAGGGGGTGGGCTCTATGAGGCCCGCCTGCTGATACTGTCTCCCTCTGTTCCATCCAGGCAGGGGCGAGCCGGCGGAGGAGGCCCAGCCTCTGACGGACCTCTCAGAGGGGGAGATGGACTCACTGCGGCCCGGAGAGGAGGAGGGAGACATCACCAGGGAGGAGAGAGAGGGGTTCCACTATGACAGCCTGGACCAGGGTGAACACTTTGGGGCCTGAGGCAAGGAGGGGAGGAGGCCACTCGCACCCTGGGGTGGGCCGCAGGGCTCTCCGCCTTTGACCGAGGCCGTTCTGGGTCCAGGCCTGAGGCTCAGGAGGGCTCAGAGGACCCAGTCTGGGCACGTTGCGCCCTCCTAGGGGCCCTGCACACCTCCCCAGCGCGTGGGGACATTGGTGCCAAGCCTGTGGTTGCCAATCTCCACTTCACCCGAGAGCTGACCTCAGGCTGCAGAGTCCAGCAGACTGATGCCTTGGCTATATTTTATGACATGGTTTTCACTTTGGCTGAGTCCCAGGGGTACAATGAGAGTCCAGCAGTGTTGCAACCAGCCCTCTATAAGTGGATTTGAATATATGATTGATCTAGGAGCTTCCACCTCTGCAGGTCCTGGAGCAGGGAGCTGGCCACTCTGTCCGACTGGGGCTTCAGCTTCCTGCAATCCTTAAAGCTCTTTCCCCAAGTGATGTGGGGACCACAGGGCAACTCAAAGAGGTTTCTCTTCTCCGAACCTGGTGTAAAGAGGAGATCTTGGAGGCTGAGGAAAGCGTGGTCCGGGAGCCGCCGGGGCTTACGAGCGCACCTGCTGTCACATGGCCCCGGACTGCGTCGCCGGGCCTGGGGTCCCAGCAGTTTAGTCTGTCTCTGTTGTAATTTAAGAGCGAATATATTTCCCATTCTCTTGCAAATAAGGTCTTAAATAATGAAGTCACATAAACCTGTTTTCTATTGAAATAACTTAGACTTTCGTGAGCAATAAGGATGCTAAGTCCGTAGAGATGCACCGGGTTGCGGTAGGCGGGGCGGCAGTGGGCGGGGCCGTGGTGGGCGGGGCGGAACCCAGGCCTCACCGGTTGTGACCTCTCGTCCTAGCCCGTGTCGCGTGGCTTGTCTGCATAACGCCCACGGTAATGACCCCTCGAGGGCACAGTGCCCGTCTGATTCTGTGTGGGCAGATGTCTAAGCATTTAAACTGCACACGGAGAGGCTCCGTACGTGGAGGTTCTTAAGTAAAAAGCAGGCTCAGTGAGTAAAACATTTTACCAAAACAGTAAAAACTCAAGACCTGTTTATTGTGGTTCCCATTGAAGGTTCACCCAACTAATTCCTTCTTCAACACAGCCAGCAGTGAGAATTACAGAGTTTACATAACAATGAAAATAATTCTAATTTAAAATTTCTTATTAAAATAAATAAGAATGAGTTCTTCAAATAATCTGATTTCTTATTTAAATACATATAATTTAAATAAATAATAAATAATTTAATTTTAAATAAACAGTGTTTATTTATTATATAATTAAATTATTTTAAATAAATAATATTTATTACTCAAATAACTTAAAATAATTTTTAAAAAATTTAAATTTAAATAATTTAAATAATTCTAAGTGTCATGACACATTTAAAAAGGCATCTTATGAAACTGTAGCAAATTCCTGCTTTTCTTTTTGTTAACTGAGGGGCCCCCCAAAATGGCATCTTTCACTCATAATGCAAGCTGTATTTGTAGCGTGTGCAGGTGAAAGATACTGATTGATTTTACTGTCACTTACACGGATGTTCTTGTCTTAGCATTTACCCTGAATATCTCTTTTGCTTAGTTTACTACTGAGTATCAAGAGAAAAATTATAAAAGTCTTTATAAGATAAAATTTAACATTCCTTTTTTTTTGCCGGATAAATATTTCATATTTATATTATTTATTGCAAAAGTTCTGTTAGCAAATCAAGAATTTTTAAATAGAAAAAGTTAATACACTCATGCTTCCTTTTTCTTCCCAGGAAATGTTAGTTTTGAAGAAGAAGAAAACAGGCCCTCAGATCTACGAGACTGAGATGAAGAAGCCAAAACGTGAGGAGAGTGTGTGAGGAAGGCGTGCCTGTTGCCAGGGCAGCTGGTACAAATCTGTCACTAGCCTTTCTTACTTAGTTGTTTGCTAAAATGTTTTACGACTGCAAATAAATGTCTTCATTATTCTTTGTTTGTGAATAGCCTCTGTTCAAATCCCGTAAGGGCTGCCAGGTTATTTTGCCATTGTTTTTTGGTGGAGTTTTCTGGGTTAAAGAAAAATGTCACATGACTGAAGCTCTGCAGAGGATGGCCGATGGAAATGGATTCCGGCTGCGTTAGTCGAGTGACTACATTCTGAAGTTCCTCGCTCGAGTCTCCTTCCAGAGAGCTTGGAAAACACCTAGAAGATAAGGATTCCTGTGCGCGACTCTCACCAAACACAGTGTGAGAAATACGTTTCAGGCCCGGGTCAGAAACCACCAGCAGCTGCTGGAGGAGGCATCTCCGTCCATCCTGTGCCTTCAGCGTCCCAGGGTGGACGTGGGGCTGCCAGCCAGGGGTCCCTGCGATGGCTGAGGGCTGGGCTGCCCACAGGTCTGGCACTGGCCTGTGTGCACACTGTTCAGGTCTCTGGGGGCTGGGGGCTAACGCCTAGGTCACAGTCAGGTTCTTTGCAGGTGCACCTTGGTTCGTTGTGCTTGGCTTCATCGTACTTTGCAGACGACTGCATTTTTCATAAATGGAAGATTTGGAGCAACCCTGCATCGAGCAAGGCTATCGGCTCCGTTTTTTCCAACGGCGCTTGCTCACTTCATCTCTGCGGCACATTTTGGTGATTCTCACAGTACTTCCAACTTTTTCGTGACTTTTGTGTTTGTGGCGGTGATCTGTGATCTGTGATCTTTGATGTGACTGTTGCCGTTGTTTTGGGGCCACCATGAACTGCACCCATATAAGATGAGAATTTAATAGATCCGTGTCATGTGTTCTGACTGCTCCACCCACCAACCGTTCCCCCATCTCTCTCCCTCTCCTCCGGCTTCCCCATTGCCTGAGACACAACAATGTTGAAATTAGGTGACTTAATAACCCTACAATGGCCCCTAAGTGTTCAAGTGACAAAAGAGTCACTTGTCTCTCACTTTGAATCAAAATCTAGAAATGACTAAAGTCAGTGAGGAAGGCTTGTAGAAAGCTGAAATTTCTCAGGCCAAAATCTAGGCCTCTTGCATCCAGCAGTTAGCCAAGCCGTGAATGACAAGAAGTTCTTGCAGGAAATGAAAGCACTGCTCTAGTGGCCACATGGAGGATGAGAAAGCAAAGCAAGCTGATTGCTGGTGTGAGAAAGCGTCAGAGTCTGGACAGAAGGTCAAACCAGCAGCAGCATTTCCTTAAGTCAAAGCCTCGTCCAGAGCAAGGCCCAACTCTCCTTGAGTCGAAGAAGGCTGAGAGAGGCGAGGAAGCTGCAGAAGAGATATCTGAAGCTTGCAGGGGTTGATTCCTGAGGCTGAAGGAAAGAAACCATCTCCGTGACATCGAAGCACAAGGTGAGGCAGCAGGTGCTGATGTAGAAGTTGCAGCAAATGATCCAGAAGCTCCAGCTCAGGTCATTCATGGAGGCAGCTGCACTGAACAACACGTTCTCAGAGCAGATGAAACAGCCTTGCACTGGAAGAAGACGCCATCTTGAGGTTTCATAGCTGGAGAGGAGAAGTCAGCACCTGGCTTCAAAGCTTCAAAGGACAGGCTAACTCTTTCATTAGGGGCTAATGCAGCTGGTGACTTAAAGCCAATGCTCATTTACTGTTTCGAACAACCTAGGGCCCTTAAGAAAGATGCTAAATCTACTCTGCCTGTGCCCTAGAAATGGAACAAAGCCTGGATGACAGTGTATCTGTTAACAACATAGTTGACTGAGTATTTTAAGCCCACTGCTGCTCAGAAAAAGATTCCTTTCAAACTGTTACTGCTCATTAACAAATGCCCCTAAGGTACCTTGCAGACTGGAGCCTGAGCACCCCTCTTCTCCCCTTTGCACACGCCGAACCCTCTGCCTGGAACCTTGGTCCCCCAGCGCCCCCACAACACCCATGTGTGCCCCTAGCCACCCGTGTTAGGAAACACTCCGCCTACCTCCTGTGTCTCTCCTGTGCTCCCCCATGACTGCCACACTCACAACACTCCTGACACGGATGGATGGGGATCTTCCCCCACATCAAGCACCTCTGTGACACCAGCTGGGTGTCCTACAATTTAACCCAATTCTGACACTAGCCATCTGGAGATAGCGTCAGATCCCACTGGCTGAGGCCTCAGTCCCACGAGACTGCCCCCTACTTCAATGCCAATGACAAGCAGCAAGTCCCCAGGTGACCTACAACTTCTGTCAGACTTGTCTGCAAATCAGAGGTTGCTGGGAACCCCTCCCTTTTGGATACAATTTTTTCGCAAGAAGAGCTCACAGAATTAAGGGAAGCACTCACAGTTCACAGTTTATGAAAGAGGTTATAAGGGACACGGAGAAACACTCAGATGAAGAGAAGCAGAGGGTGAAGTCTGGGAGGGCCCTGCGTGCAGGGTCTTCTGTGCCCATGGACCTGGGCTGCGTCACCCTCCAGGCATGTGGATACATCCACCACCCTGGAAGCTCTCCAAACCTCATACTGTTGGGACTTTATGGCAGCTTCCTCACGTAGGCACGACCAATTATTAACTCCATTTCCAGCCCTTCTGCTGTCTCTGGAAAATGGCGGGGGGTGGGAGCTGAAAATTCCAAGCTTCTGATCACAGCTTGGTCTTTCTGGCGACCAGCCCCCACCCAGGAACCTCCCCCTCCACCACCAGAGTCACCTCATTAAAAGACCCTCCCGCCACCCAGGAAATGCCAAGGGACTTAGGAGCTCTGTGTCAGAAACCAGGGTCAAAGGCCAAATACTAGAACAAAAGGCGTTTTTTTAGGGGACGACTAGCTCTCCGGAAGGAGGAGGTCCCGGGAGTCTCTGGTCTGCAGACAAGCCGGACAGAAGTTCTTTATTCCAAGAATTTGAGCAGAGCTGCAATTCTGCATGAGTCGCCTTTTGGTAAATACCAGGCAAAACTAACCTCTGTTCATAATTTTTAGTTTATCAAAACAGAGTCTAAATCAAGCCCTATTTTTCACTATTTTCTTTGAACTTTGGTTTCTATGGTAACCAGACAACTTTGTGTGACTTCTCTTTGTACAACCTACCTCCTGGAAAGGACACCTCCCTGATGAATTTTTGTATAATTGCATGTCACCCCCACTGACATGAAAAGCCTGTGCGTGCACTGTCCCCTCGGACCAATCCCAGCAGGAAACAAATGGCTCTCTCAAAACAGGGTGGTTCAAGGGCGCACGTTAAAAAGGACATCTTGGGAAGTGTGGGGAACTGGCTTAGGTCTGGGAATAGGGCAGCAGCTGACAGCCAGGCTCCTTGGCTGCAGACCTGGCATTTCCCCGCCTTAAACCGCCAGTCAGCACTTCGTAGGGCATCTCCTCCTGGTCCAGGGACCCCACAAGCAAGGAGCCAGCAACACGGCTGCCTTGCTGTCTCCGTGCCTCAGCCGTCACGGCTGGGAGCTGCTCCCTCTCTGGGATCCCGTTCTTCCCACTAAGATGGGGAATTTAGGGCCAGGGCCGTGCCCCCAACCTCAGCCCCAGCCTGGGGAGGACAGCCCCGCAGAGCTCCTTGAGGACTCACCAATGCAGTGTCCTCTAGCCTGATCCCGGGAGGGGCTGTGATTAGGGGGAGGCCGAGTCAGTTGCAAACAGTACATCTTTTTCTACAGTTCTGTTTCCCGAGCCTTTGATCTTGGTCCTGTACAGCAGACCAGGGAGTTCAAGCAGTTTTACCTGGTTAATCCTAAACCATCCTCATTCCAGCTTCAATTAGTCAACCTGGTAGATCATTAACCACCCTCTCAGGGCTTAAGCCAAATGTAAATCCCACGTGAGGGCACCTATGTCAAAAATTTCAGCCTCGTCTAGACTTTTCCCCCACCCGTCTGGTCTAGTAGTCCTGGAATCCACTCCCACGTTGCCCCAGGCTCTGCACTTCTCTCCCTGGGGGTGTCGTCTCCTCCCGGAAAGGACTTGCGCCTCATTGCCTGGGCTCTGCTGCTGTCGGCTCTCTTCTGGGGCTCGAGTGGTGAGAGGCGGTGGGTGGGTCCCATGCAGAACAGGCATCAGGTCACGAGGTGGCTTCCCCAGCCACAGATGTTGGCAGCATTTACAGCAGAGGTTGGCTGGTTTCCTTGGGGGAGGGCGGGGGGAGGAGTGGAGGAGAAAGGAAGGGAGGGTAAAGAGGGGGAGAGAAGGGAGGGGAAGGGGAGAGGAAGGGGAGGGGAAGGGGTGCTGCCTCCGTGGACTGGGGTGGGGGTGGAATCTGCAGAAGAAGCAGAAGCACAGAGTGCAGGGAGCTGTGTGCAGGTGGGGCTGGAGAGGAAGGGGTGGGTCGGGGCCAAGGGGCTGCTGAGGGCGGGCCGAAGGTGGAATAAGGAGCCTGGAGACAGGGGTAATTATAACCAGACTCCTGGTGCCATTTCAAAATCTGGTTCTTGCGTTGTGGGCGTGTGGAAATGATGTCGCTCCCAACTGCGGCTCCAAAGAGACAACTCAGAAGCAGAGAAAATCATTCCAGTGCTATAGCCAACACAGAGACCCACTGCGCAAGCGGCATCAAGGCCGGCTGTCTGTGGGCTGTGGGTTCAGGGAGCAGCAACCTCTCTGCGCCTTGCCGAGAGGGAGGTCCCGGGCTGTGACGAGACCCGCGGTCTGCTCGGCCCAGGGTTAGCCCTGAGGTGCTCTGACTGCAAGCCCTTCCCCCAAAGTGTATCCCAATTTCATTTTTGTAAACTAAAAATAGTTTATATTAACCTTCCTCCTTACAGAAAATAAAATACACCCGTTTTAAGTGAATAGCTCGATGAGCTTTGAGAAATATATACAACCACG